CCAGCTAGGTTGTGCTAGTTGCCGTGTCACAGGCCTCATGCTTCTTGCTTCTGTTTCCCTGGCTTCACATTTACCACTAGCCTACTCACTTTATTTCCGCTCAGGATGCTTTGTCTTGTTGCATGTTTACTTTTACTGTGTTTACAGTATGTTTGTTTAACTTTTGCTTTGCCTTAAGTTATTAAGTAAAGTCAGTTAGGATGTGCTAGTCTCGGTGTTACGGGCCCTTGTCTCCTGCTTTAAGTTTCTGGCCCTGCATTTATGTTTAGTTTCCTCTGTAAATTATTACTGTTATTACGGGTAGCCCTTGCCGCATATTTGTTGTTTCTCCTGGTTACGTTATGTGGTTTATCATTTACGGCCTAAATGTTTACATTTAGGCCGTAAATGATTTAAATGGCCGTTTACATTTATATCCTCATACTACATTCTTCAATTGATACCCTCCTAACACCAGCTGCAGGTTTTACTTCCCGGTGGAAATTTATGCTTGTTCGCTCGACTTTGTTTAAGTTGTTAGGTAAGGCCAGTTAGGCTGAGCGAGTTGCTACTCGCCGTCTCAGTTATCTCTAACTTAAGCTTTGACGCCCTGGCGTTGTGCGGTCCGCCGTTTTGGTGATTTATAATTTATATTATTTGTGAACATTTTTAAAATATATCTTATGATTGCTAGACTTTCAGTTATGAGTTGTATTACTTCCGCAATTTATAGCTTTGCTTACGCTTCATGCCTAAAATTTTTTATTATTGGACTCGCAATTATGATTCGTATTTAACACGGCAAATTTTTCCAGCAATTTACACTTTGCTTAAGTTTCACGTTTAATTTGTTATATTAAGGGACTTTCAATTAGGATTTGTATTAATCTATTGCTTTGCCTCTGTGCCATTAAGTTAATTTCAGCTAGGGTACGCTAGTTGCAGTGCATTCGGGTTGGGTCCCCCCCCCCCATTTTTTCCTCTGGTTATTTCGTCCTATTATTACATTGCTTATGCCTAGGTAAGGTACATCGTTTCCCTCATTATTATATTCGTTTAAATATTGTGCATTATATTTGACCACCCATTCTTCATCGTTTCGGCAGTACATTAAGATACATTTGGAATGCTACAGAGAAGTTTAGCATGGCCTCGCGCACGGTGTCATGCAAACTGGCTTTCGGCCTTCCATACGGCAAGCATAAGCCAGTCAGTCGCATGATGTCGGCCAGCATGCTGTTGGTCAGCAGTCAGCCAGCATGTTGTTGGCCTTACGGTCGCTAACGTTCTTTGGCTATTCGGCCTTCTGGGCTAATTTACTCTTCTTGTTCCTTCGCCATTGTTGTTTCTTACTACGTAATAGTATTCTATTTAATTTAACCTCATCTATCATTAGGTTAGGGGCCCTTACCTCCAACTGCTATTCCTTCCCCTGTGCTCTGCCCGCTTGGCGCACCACGTCGGCTTCTTATGTTCCCTTTTTTTTGCAGCCACGACAAGTCGGAACCCCCCCCTCCCCCCTCCTCACCCTACTGCGGCGAGGAAGAGAACGCGAGCCGGATATTCCTCTTATCACCGTTACAACGCACACAGCGGCGCCGGGATGCAGCCGCCCAGGGCCTACGTTAATACTATTATCTTCCCTTATTTGCTGGGCTATATTGTAGTATTAATATTATTCCGTATCATTACTGTTCCCACCTTTGCTCCTAGCAAAGGTACTTCCCCCTTCCGTTTGCTGGAAGATTCTTAGAATTGTTAGCCCCCTTCATTGCTACAGTATAGTTATTCGGAAAACTCTTATTCATCCAGGATTGTTAATTAAGGAATCTCTTAATTCCTGCTGCTGGGCCCCCTCCCCCCGTTTTTTCGTCTCCTCCGTATTGATTCAGCTAGGGTTTTCCTCTCATCTGTGCTCTTGCCTGTCACGATAACACTGCATGCCGCTTCTGCCCACCCTTACTGCCTTATATCTTTCAGCCTGGGGAAGGTGATCTACGCGACAAAAAATCGACGCACGCTCCGACTGGACCAGGTATCGTTTACATGGCCAGGAATCAACACTCTTCGGATCCTACAAGCACAGCGCAGGACGCACGCATACCCTAGCCCAGCGAGCGCCCCTCTCCCCCCCGACAAGTTCTACCCGGCCCGTGCCCCAGTGAACAGGCAAGACTTCTCCAGGGCGCTTAATTCGCGCCGCCCTCGCAGAGCTAGGCTCGCCTCCAGCCGACCACGCCCTCTTACCTTTAGAATTGGCAAGGCCACTCAGCTCTCTTGACGGGCTCGCCAACGGAGATAATGGCGGGTCCAGCAACCAGCTGGAACCCCCAGCTGACTACGTCCGGACGTTGTTGCTCTGCCACTCTGAGGCCTCCTTGCGGCAAGCGGGCCTCGCCCTTCGGGGGGGGGGGGGGTCCGGCCAGCTGGCCTGCGGTGGGGGTGCAGCGCCGGTCCCCAAGTGTCCCGCTGTCCGCAGCTAATCCTTTGCCCAGTCTAGGTGCTAATAAGAGTCAGGAAACCCTTCTCCTTATTCCTAGGCGGCCGGCCTCACGCCCTGGGAAAAACTTCTCCCATTTGTCATATCAGTTTTCCCCAGTCACTAGGTATTTTCTGCCCGCCTGTTAATTCTAGGATTTCCCATTATGTCTTGGTTGGGCTCCGTTAAGTGTTGTGTCTATACACTTTATTTCCCCTTTGTCTCCTGACTGTTATACCTAGTTCTAATTACATTTCATCTGCCATTAGGTTTCTGCAGAAAGTGTTTGCCATGTCACTAGGCTATACTTACTACTACGGGGGTACATTTTAAGTTAATTAGTCCTCAGACATGGGCATGTTACATTTGTTAATTCCTACTTATATTATTTATATGTTCTGCAGAATTTAATTTACTAATAAAATTTAAGCCCCATTCGGCCTGTCTTTTTTTCCCCTGGTCAGAAAAAGAAGCTTTTCTGAGGTTGGAAGAAAACGCGCTCAGATTGGGGACTTGTTTATTTTATAATAGTAAATAATAAATTAGTAATAAATAATAAATTAATAATAAATTAATAATGAATAATGAATAATAAATTAATACTAATAAATTATTATTATTATATAATAAATATAATAGTAATAGTATAATGATAAGTAATTATTTTCAATGAATCATATAGCTAATTAGGGTGAATGATAAATAATTAGTGATTAATGCATAACAATAAAGTATTAGAGAATAATTTTAATGAATAATCATTATAATGATAATATCCCCAGTTTGCTAACTGTAGGTAGTAACTGAGTGATTGTAACCTATCCACCGCTGCCCACTGGATGTGGGGCGGTGTGCAGGACAAACATATAAATTGTGACACTAGCTCTCCACATATGTCAGGTGCTTAATTTAGAACCTGTACTTGAGGTCGATCTCGAACCCCTTGTTGATGTGACGACTTATATTGAATTTTGTAACTAGCTCATCAAGATTGTAACTTGCTTAGCTAAATGAATTGTGGGGTTCAGTCCCTGAGCCCATTATGTGCCTCCGTAACCCTTTCCACTACCGCCCACAAGATGGGTATGGGGTGCATAATAAATGAACTAAACTAAAAAAACTGATAAAGTATTAAATCAATTACAATTAATAGTTACATCTATAGTTAGTAATTGAAAGTTGCATTATTTGAATTTACACTAATTACAATTCATGGTAATATTTCTTAGCTATCTGCAGGCTTAGCACTTTGGGGGTTCCAGCAGAGCACCCCCCATCCCGTGAGGGCCAGCGGCGCGGAACCCCCAACTTCAAAGGGTGAGCGCCGGCTGGCCGCTGCAACTAGGAATGTGACTACTCGCACTGTGGCTGTAACCGTGCCTGTGACAGGTTTCCCTGACTGAAAAAGTTACCAAACCGGGTCTACTGGACAGATGTTACAAGTGAAACAACTTTCTGAGGTTGGAAGAAAACACGCTCAGATTGGGGACTTGTTTATTTCATAATAGTAAATGATAAATTAATAAATAATAAATTAATGATAAATTAATAATAAATTAATAAATAATAAATTAATAATAAATTAATAAATAATAAATTATTATTATTATATAATATAATAATACTGACCCAAACGCCACCAACGCTGCTCAGGAATGGCGTCACTGGCTCAAGACGTTCCAAAACTTCACTCTAGCAGTGGAAGAAAATACCCCCACCGTGAACAAGCTGCGTCTCTTAATAAACTACGTTGCTCCACGTGTGTTCGACTTCATAGCTGACTGCACTACGTATGATGCTGCTGAAAAATCCCTAACAGAACTGTGTTTGAAGCCCAAGAATGAAATATTCGCAAGGTATGTGCTTGCAACACGACGCCAAGCAACCCGTTCTCGCAAATTCGTAAAGTCAATATTGACTTATTAACTACGTGCATAGGTGATATACTAAACATAATAGATACCCTTAAAAAGATTCATAGAAAACACCGACCTTACCTAACCTTGTTAGTATCTTAAGATAAGCATCTTATTGCTTCGTAATTACAATTATTACTTAACCTATACCTATTATAGGTTAGGTAATAATTGTAATTACGAAGCAATAAGATGCTTATCTTAACGTACTAAGTAGGTTAGGTAAGGTCGGTGTTTTCTATGAATCTTTTTAAGGGTATCTATTATGTTAAGTATGTCACCTATGCACATATATAATAAGTCAATATTGACTTATTAAATTTGCGAGAACGGGTTGCGCCAAGAAACCGGCGAGTCGCTTGATCAGTTTCTTCAGGCTTTAAAGTTATTAGCTAAAGATTGCCAGTTCAAAGCAGTGACTGCTGTAGAAGCCTGTGATAACTATGTGAGAGATGCTTTCATTAATGGGCTAAGTTCTGCCACAATAAGGCAGCGCTTACTTGAAAATAAAACTTTAGACTTACAGTCAGCCTTTGACCAGGCTCGCACTCTAGAAACGGCACAGAAACTTTCTGCCTCTTATGCTCAGCCAGGGGCTACAAATGCTGCCATGGCACTCTAATTAGACCTGGAGGACTTAGGAGGACAAGAAAGTGTAGAAGAAAAGTTGACAGAGTCTGCAGCTACAACTAGTGGTTTAAAGTGCTTCTTTTGTGGTTACTCTCGACATCCTCGCAGTCGATGTCCAGCTAGAGAGGCTCTGTGTATGAATTGCAAGAAAAAGGGTCATTATGCTAAGGTCTGCCGATCTCTGAAACAGACTAACAGCGCTACAAACACCCAACAATCCGCTGCTATGCTCGCTACTTTAGCTGGGACTTCGCCCTCATGCCTCAATAAATCATTGCTTAGTTTTAAGATCAATGGTATTCCAGTTAGTGCACTGATTGACACTGGTAGCTCTGAGAACTTTATTCATAAGAATATTGCCGAGCAGAGTGGGTTACTCGTCTATCCTGACAATGGGGCAGTTTCTATGGCTACTGTATCGTTCTCTGCAAAATTCCTGGGGCAGTGTTCTGTAGACTTAGAATTACAAGGAGAAACTTACCATGGTGTGAATCTCAAAGTGTTACCCGATTTGTGTGCTGATGTGATTTTAGGTCTTAACTTTTTACAAAATCATTCTGTGCTCGAGATGGCTTTTGGAGGAGATAGACCTCCCCTTAGAATATGTGGATTAGCTGCCGTCAAAGTTCCGGCTCCATCTCTCTTCAGTAATTTAGCACCAGACTGCAAGATACCTTGAGGTGCTTCCGGGGCTTAGCGTCCCCGCGGCCCGGTCGTCGACAAGGCCTCCTGGTTGCCGGACTGATCAACCAGGCTGTTGGACGCGGCTGCTCGCAGCATGACGTATGGGTCACAGCCTGGTTGATCAGGTATCCTCTGGAGGTACTTTTCCAGTCCTCTCTTAAACACTGTGAGGGGTCGGCCAGTTATGCCCCTTATGTGTAGTGGAAGCGTGTTGAACAGTCTCGGACCTCTGATGTTGATAGAGTACTCTCTCAGAGTACCTGTTGCACCTCTGCTTTTCAACGGGGGTATTCTGCACATCCTGCCATGTCTTCTGGTCTCATGTGATGTTATTTCTGTGTGCAGGTTTCGGACCAGCCCCTCTAATAATTTCCACGTGTAAATTATTATGTACCTCTCCCGCCTGCGCTCAAGGGAGTACAGTTTTAGGATCTTTAGTCGGTCCCAATAGTTTAGATGTTTTACTGAGTGGATTCTAGCAGTAAAGGATCTCTGCACGCTCTCCAGGTCAGCAATTTCTCCAGCTTTGAAAGGGGCTGTCATTGTGAAGCAGTACTCCACGCTAGAGAGCACAAGCGTTTTGAAAAGTATCATCATCGGTATAGCATCTCTAGTGTGAAAAGTTCTTGTTATCCAACCTGTCATTTTTCTTGCAGTTGTGACGCCTACTTTATTGTGTTCTTTAAAGGTAAGGTCTTCCGACATGAGTACACCCAGATTCTTTACATTGCCTTTTCGTTGTATGTTATGATTTGCCTGAGTTTTGTACATAGTTTCCGTTTTTATATTTTCATTTTTTCCATAGCGCATGAGCTGGAACTTATCTTCGTTAAACACCATATTATTTTCTGCAGTCCATAGAAAGACCTGATCTACATCTGACTGAAGGTTTGCCGTGTCCTCTATGTTGCCTACTCTTATGAAGATCCTAGTGTCATCTGCAAAGGATGATACAGTGCTATAGACTGTGTTCTTGTCTATGGCCGATATGAGGATGAGAAAAAGTACTGGAGCATGCACAGTACCCTGGGGGACTGAGGTCTTCACGGTTGATGGGCTGCATTTTATTTTGTTGACTATTACACATTGGGTTCTGTTGGTCAGGAAATTGTAGATCCATCTGCCTATTTTTCCAGTAATTCCTTTTGAACGCATTTTATGTGCAATAACACCATGGTCACATTTATCTAAAGCTTTTGCGAAATCTGTGTAAATTACATCAGCGTTTTGTTTGTCTTCCATAGCATCTAATGCCAAATCATAGTGGTCCAGCAACTGCGACAGGCAAGAGCGCCCTGTTCTGAAACCATATTGTCTGGGGTTATGGAGATGCTGTGATTCCATGTATTTTGTGATCTTACTTCTTAGCACTCTCTCAAAATTTTTTATGATGTGCGATGTTAGTGCTATCGGTCAATAATTTGTTTGCCTCTGCCTTATTTCCTCCTTTATGAAGTGGTGCTATCTCTGCTGTTTTTAGTATATCAGGAATAACGTCAGTATCTAGGCTTTGTCTCCACAGAATGTGGAGGGCCTGCGATAGTGTTTTTTTTTTTTACAGTTGTTTATGAATATGGAGTTCCAAGAATCCGGTCTTGGTGCAGAGTGCATAGGCATACTATTTATGGCTTCTTCAAAATCAAGTGGGGATAGGGTGACGTCTGATATATGATTTGATGTTGGTATCATATCCATGAAAAATTCATTTGGGTTATCAATCTTTAGTGTGTTTAATGGCTCGCTGAAAACAGACTCGTACTGCTTCCTCAGTAGCTCGCTCATTTCTTTGTTGTCATCAGTGAAAGTTCCATCTCCCTTCGCAGGGGCCCGATACTAAATGTGTTTTTTTTATCTAGATTTTGCATAGGAGAACAAATATTTCGGATTACTCTCTATTTCACTGATGGCCTTTTGCTCTCCTTGCCTCTCCTGGGTTTTGTATGATTCTTGTAGCTTCCGAGATAGGGTGCGACTCTCAAGTTGTTCCGCGATTCGTTTTCTTCGCCAATATAGGAAACGACTTTCCCGTTCCAATCTGCATCTCTTCTTTTTTTTTTTCTTAGGGGTATGCGGTTTGAACATATTTCTAGTGCTACTGAGGTTATTTTTTCCAGGCACTGGTTCAGGTTTGCATTTTCTAGCTGTTCTTCCCAGTTTATTTCTGTGAAGTCCTGGTTTATTTGCTCCCAGTTTATCTGTTTATTATTGAAGTTGAATTTGCTGAAATCTCCTCCACCGGGAATCTGGACTGGTTTTGAAGGTCTACTCCCCATGGTTGTCATAACTTCAATTAAGTTGTGATCTGAGTAGCAGGTATTTGTAATCATTATGTTCCTGATCATTATTAATGAAAATGAGGTCCAGCGTGTTCTCCTTCCTAGTTGGTTCTACTATTTGCTAGTTTAAGGCAACCCTGTCGCACATCCGTAACAGGTCATTTGCATGTGCCTGTTCATTTAGGCTACCTCCTGGTATTCTTTCTGATATTACTGTATTAGCCAGGTGCTTCCATTTCATGTGCCGTAGGTTGAAGTCCCCAAGCAGGATGATGTTCGGAGCTGGATTTGTGAGGTTTTCCAAGCAGTGTTCTATTTTCATTAGTTGGTCTTTAAACTGCTGAGGGTTTGCCTCTGGTGACTTATATACAAGGACAATAACTACATTTAGAATCTCTATTTTGATTATCAGCACTTCCACCATATCATTTGAGGTGTTTAGCAGCTCAGTACAGATGAGTGTGTCTTTGATGTAGAGGCTGACCCCACCCTGAAGCCGGTGTTTCCTATCACATCTGAAAAGATTGTACTCTGAGATCCATTTTTCACCATCATGGTAGTCCTTTGTGTGGGTTTCTGTTAGGGCTGCAAACACTGTATTTGCCTCATGAAGGAGACCATCTATAAAGCGAACTTTGTTGGATTTACGTGTTTTTATACCCTGGATGTTGGCAAATATAAATGATGTTATCATGTTAGTGGTAGTGCTGGATGGCTTACTTGGTGGTAATATTTGAGGCTCTGTTAAGGAGGCCATAGTGTTTGCGTCCAGGGTGTGTTGTTTTGGAAGTGATTCGTCCAGTTTTGGTAGTAGGACGGGTGTTGTGTGGTGTAGTACCTGTGTGCTTGTTGATAATTTGTATTCCAGTCTTGTGGGTATCTCCGTTCCCCTCTGTAATCCTGTATTGATTCCATCTGACTGTTTCTCTCTCTTATATATACTACTCTGTTTCTGCCATCCTCTAAAAAAATTCCAGTAGTGTCATATTGATCTTCCCGTCTATAACGCTGTGTATCTCTCACGTGGAATTCCGGACACTGAAGATTGTAGCATTTTCTGTCCCTAATTGAAAATTGACATAATTTAGGGTGGAAGTATCTACACCCTGTTCCAAAACGGCATGTACCCCTCTCCAACATGTTCCTGCATTTTCGAGGATGCAGAAAATGGCATTTTGCTCCTAATTTTCCATATTTGCATATTCCTTTAGCGCAGAATTTGCAAATGTGTTCCGGTTTTGCGTTTTTCAAGGTATTTATATCTGTGACTGTCTTGTCTACCTCTTTATTGGAGCCATCTCCGTTTTTCGTCCCAATTCCTTCATCTATGCACTCTGTTTCACTGTTGCTCTCATCGTTTTTATTACCTGGCTCTGCAATATTGCTGTTATTTTGTACCACAATACCCTCTTCCTCCACACTACTGCTGCTGTTCTCTAATCTATCTGTTCCTGAGTTTTGGTCGTTATCCAATGTTGTCTTTTCCCAGTCCACATGTATCACTGGTAGCTTGTCTGTGAATGATAATCTCTGTGACTAGGGAATGTTTTTCATCAGTTTAGTTATGTTCTCTAACATTAATCTGTCATCTTTGTAAACCCAGTAAATTCCTTGCCTTTTTGTGCATCCTGGAGCTTATTCTGTACAGCCCAGGTGAAATCTTATGTTACAGATGCAACACTGGACGCCTGCATTACGTTTTCCCAGTACTCCCGAACACTCGCCACATCTCTCTATTGTCTGATGTATTGTATTGTATTTGAGGTTCACTGTATGGATCACTTGTTGATGTCAGTCCTTTTAACTCTTTATAAAATTATATGTATATATTTACATGTTTAATATATATATAATATTATATGTATACCGTATATTTGTAATATTATGTATGTTATTTTGTTCAAACTTTATGGCAGATACTTAGCGTAGGGTAGCGAAGCTGGTCCCCGGTCGGTACAGGTGACCTCTTGCTGTCCCAGGTTGATGTCACCAGTTTCCAGTTACTCGATTTATAACCACTGATGCCGCCTCTTGCCACTATTCTATATTCCTAGTATTCTATATTTGTATAGAATCCATACCCATCCTGCGGGCGGAAGTGGACCCCATAACCATCCTGTGGGTGGTAGTGGACCCCATGCCTATCCTGTGGGCGGTATTGGAGCCAATACTCATCCTGTTGGAAGTACTGGACCCCATACCCATCCTTTGGGTAGGAGTGACCCCATATCCATCCTGTGGGTGGTAGTGGTCCCCCTACATGGTGTTTGTTATACTGAGGAAGTATAATAATAATAATAATAATAATTTTTATTTAGGCAAAGGTACATACATAAAGAGATTTTACAAAGTTTGTTGGCTTTATAGATAAGAGCTAGTACATACAATGCCTAAACCCACTATTACGCAAAGCGTTTCGGGCAGGAAAAAACACTACTGACTAAAGCTTAAAACTAATGGGTAAAAAGAAAAAAATGCGTTGAGTACAAATAAAAATAGAGGTAAAAGAGGGGGGAACATTGTTGAAAAAAACAGCACAAATACAATTACAAATTAATTACAGAAAATTACATTAAAACAGCGTTGATTTGTAAAACAAAAAAACAAAAAAACATACATGGGTTGACAATAGAGAGGTAAGGTAGGTTACAGGGAATTTATTAGGTATAGCTTCGTTTTTAACTTAAACTGGTTGAGAGAGGTACTGTCTTTAACATGG